CAACCGGGATCCCCATTTGTTCACTGATGCGCGATGATTGCGGCAACATTTTCCGGATTGTGGTGGTACCATGATTACAGCCAAAGCCTCGTCGTGCGAAGAGCGTTTTTACCTGGTACGGCGTGATCAAAGTCGTCGGACACAAATAATAGGCATTACACAGCTGGGGTTTTCCTCTTCTTAGGACATTTGATGACGCATAACGCCTCGTCATACGTAACATTGATTTATCTTTCAACAGCCCAAATCTAACCATCTTCACGCGTTATTTACATCATTACACAACATCTTTGTTGTGTGGTACCCGATGGTCTTCTTCCTTTTTTCGAGGAATGTATAAAACGCTTTTTTCCATTCTGTTATTTATCGACATATTAAATTTACACAATATCTTAATTAAACACAAGAACATTACTAAGGATGTGTGCAAATACGCCCTGTAACTTATTACATCGAAAATCCATTATTCATTATTGGATTTTTCCGAGAAAAGAATCTCATTATTTTCATTTTCTAGCAAATCCTTTACGCCATTTGAGTCACGCATCCTTTCTTAAACAGGAACTCTGTTTGGGTTCAGGTGACGATCCTGTTTGTACATGGAGACAAGGAAAACGAATTATTATTGCAATCACGAATGTCACTTTTTCCCCGATGGTTAAATTGCGTGTAGGCTTCGCGCGCCTACACGAATCCGGAATCTTAATTAAAATAAACTCTTCAATAGAAATACTCTGGTCCTAATTGATTCTGCGGGGGTGGTCGTGGCCGAGTACCACATACATAATAGAAATGATGAGGCAAATTTATCTACCTATTCGGCAAACACCTACATGAATTCTTAAAAATTAGGTTGTCATTGGTTTTCATTGTATAGGTCCTAAATTCGCCATAAACTTAAAGATTTCGACGTCCAATTGTTCATCTTATCTGAAACATGGATTAACCATGCTTAAGGTTTTTCCACCCAGTTTAGAACCATAACTTCTGCGCCATAAACATCAGATGCGTTTCTATGCGTACGTTTTTGTTTCTAATGGAATAACCATTAATGAAATGGGCGAGGCATGTGAGTTTCACACATCTAAATTCATGTTATGCTTGGTCAAAGACGTTTCATAAAAGTGCATCGATTTTGTCTACACCAAGATGATGACTGACCTTGTCGACGATTGCCGTTATGCAACAAATCGATCTGTTTTTTTTTTTCTAATTCGCTATTCTTTGTTTTCCGCTCATCTTGTCGATAAAAGTACACTTTGAATGAATGAAAGTAAAACATATACAATTTACATGCCATTTACGTATGTTTT